CTACTGCAGAACTGAAGTGCCAAAATTTACTTGCAACGCAGAAGCCCTCCACTCATCGCTATCACAACATATGAGATCAATAACAGCTTTGGAACCAGCGCTTTCGCGGAATGTACCTAGAATGTAAACAATCGATCCAGACTTGCCACAGCTAATACTTCATTAAAATAAAAGGTGCAATTGATAAACTTACGAGCATTGGCAAAATTGCCGCTGACAAGAAGAGAAAGTATATCAGTACTTAACAAAGCAACTCGTTTTTCACTTTCGGACAGCTGTCGATCTGGAAGATAACGATCAAAAGCTGCAGAACTGGTGAATCAGTATACCATTAAAACGCGAAGAATACTTGAAAAATGTGGGCAATACCACCCCCATCTTTCTGTTCAGTAACATGCTTTTGAATGTCTTATTCATATCGACTGAATCTGACCGCGATATTTCTTAGGCTGTCCACAGAGGCCCGGAACAACAGAACCAGGAATAGTCTGGACTTTCCGAAAAAAAAAAGATGATGCGCCACGAAAAAGACCGGACTTTTCGACAAGCGTCCACAACTAAAGGTCGTTTTTTTTCCAAATATACGCCATTTCCCCAGGACAACCCCAATGCGACTCCTCAGTGTGCGCGAAAAGACTGCTGGACGCAATGTAAAATGGTGCGACACGGCCGAAAACAGAAAAGCAGAAAACAGCTGATGAAATGAAGTCAGCGGTCGATAAATGGTGATCGCTGCAAATTATCTAATGCTAATTTTGCCTGTCTCAATACCTGGATCCAATAATAGAACATCTAAACAGTAAGACCAACGGCAATAAGAAATTCCATGCGATCCGGAACAACTTTTACTAAGAAATTTACGCAAAGGATCGCGAGAGATGATTTCAACAGAAAAAAAAAGACAAGAAGGTGAAGCTGGACGGAAGTTTAAGAGCAAAGAGGCAAACAAACAGCAATAGATTCCTTTAACAACCTATATGCGGAAAACGCACATCAGAGATGGGCCAGACCTCCGCAAACTCTAAAGATCAAGAACGAAATTAGTAATATCCCCGATGACGGAAGGCGGCTTCCCAGAATGTCCTTACCCGCTCTCCTTTGATAATGGAAGTAATCACCGAATGAAGCATATACACCATTCATACTGCTCAGAACTGAGTAAGGGGGGAATGCTGTATGTAACGAGCCTGGGGGAGTACAGGTTTAAGACAAGCAGCAGGGAAAAGAGGCAGTCGAATCAGCAAAAAGGAGGAAGATCTGGTGATTTCTGTCACTAATTTGCTGGAAAAAATTTTTCAGCGCCCAAGAAGCCAAAAAAAAAAAAAAGTCATACTCAGTTTCCAAAGCAGACAGAGTAATGAAAGTACCAGTGGAAAAAAAGAAGGTAAAAAATCAGAACACTTTACTGTGTACAAAAGGAGAGGCTGAAGGACGATTTGCTGTAACCACGAGGGTTGCAACGGATCAACAGACGTGAGGCCTGAAGAAGTGCAAAAGGAGGCGACGGGGAGGAATGCGGGGAACGGAGAGAGGAAAGGCCATAACGAAGCATGTAAATCTGGTGCATGTGCGCCAGTTCCTAACAACAGACTGAACGTGAAGAACTGCCAGCTGGAGAAATTACATAGATATGCTCAGAATGTCGCAGAAGGACTGTGCATGCATCTCCAACACCACGATGTTAAGGGAAATGACGCACGGGTGCGAAGTCATCAAAAATGGTGGTTTCATGCTGCAGATATCATAAGCAAT